ATCAACTTTTCACAGATTCACCCAATTGATCTCGTTTTGGTGTCAAAATGTGCACAAGACCCTTGAGCATAAAGTTTGGTATATGACGCTCACCAAAAATTCCCTTTCGCCGAGAACCAGCCTGTAAAAGAGAGGCAATTTTGGCGTTTTATATGGAAAAATAGTGATTTTTTCGATTTTTTTCGATTTAAAAAAAATCTGTCAGACGGATTCGAAAAATTCTTTCAAATTTGAATTCAGGACATTTTTTTGCATCAAATAGCACTTACCGTGAGCAAATTTAACGGCGATCGCATTTTCGCGCGGATGTGCGTTTTGGCTAAAACTTTGACAGCTAAGGTTGAGTTTTCTAACGGTTAGACTCCAAAATCAGCCGGGACCGAACTAGGGTAGCTAGAATGGAAGGCGAGGACTCTATCCGCCGACCATGCGAACACTTTTATCCTCCCAAAAGAAGTCCTTTATAGAAGCATGCCTTAGAAGTCCTTCGTGTAGACGCCGAAATTTCAAAGGCGTTTTTCTAGAAAACTAGCTATCCATATCAAAATCCGAAAGCACGATCGTACTCGCCGTATTCGATAGACGTTTGCTTCTCATGTTAGTACCGAAATCTTAGCATAAACAGTTTTTACATTCATATGAAGTACAAAAACTTATTAGTCACCTTTTTGCTCAATAGATAGCACGTTTCTCTGTGTTGTTCTTTAAAGAACGTAAGAAATTTCTTGTCGATCAAAGGAATTTATCATGAAATTTGCCGAAAAGCGTGGGGATGTTCAAAAGAGAACAATTCGTTGAACTCTTTTAAATGGCTGAATGTGCAGATGGTTTCTGTTTTAAAAACACTCAAATTTTAATTCATTTACCCGGAAATTCGGATCATAGCATTGCTATGCTCTATAATATGCTATGATCCGATCATGGAAGCATAGAACTCGTTTATTGCATCCGATTCGACCTTGAACCTCTCATCAGCATTGATTTTTATTTACTTTTAACGATAATTGGTTTAAATATTGAGACAAATAGCATTTGCATTCAATTTTCGGCTTACTATCGTTTTTGTTTTATATTGAAGCTTCTATTGAAGCCAAATCAGCTTTCTTGTACTCGATTACTGTTTTCTCACTGTTCTAGGTGAAAATTCTACGCCAAAATCGGCAGTATTAGAAAGTTTCGGTTTGAAACACTGCTTTAAACTTGATATTCAATTGATAACGGTTTGAAACAACTGCTTCAAACTTGATATTCAATTTTTCATTTTGATTTGATCCTCCAGGAAAAGCTAATAATTTGAAAATTTAGAAATCAACATCACAACCCATTCAAAACAAGAGAATCTCAAAAAACAAGAGAACGAACAGGCCAACTGGGCGGGAAACGTGAACATGGACCATGAGGTGAGAGAGGATGACAAAAAAATGACTTTTCTCTTATTTCTTTTCTTTCCACCACAGCAAAGTACACTTTGAACTCTTTTGAATGGCTGAATGTGCAGATGGTTTCTGTTTTAAAAACACTCAAATTTTAATTCATTTACCCGGAAATTCGGATCATAGCATTCGATATGCTATGATCCGATCATGGAAGCATAGCACTCGTTTATTGATCATGGAAGCAATGATCGTTTATTTGATCATAGAAGCATAGCACTTTTCTCTTATTTCTTTTCTTTCCACCACAGCAAAGTACACTTTTGGACCAAAAAGTAGCGCAAACTTTTGTTTTATTTTTTTTAAGAGTCTGGAAGGAAACTTTTTTGCTTGTGTTAGGAAAGTTGAACGGTGCAACATGTTGCTTATCTGATGCGAGCAACTTCCAAGAATCCTACAAGCCTAGCAAATGTGTACTCCAACACTAATACAATTCTAGAATCTTATAAATATACTTATTAACTAAATTATCAAGGCTAAAGGAATCTAGGGTTTTTCTGTTTTTTTGCTTTTTGTGTTCCAGTTGTGGTTTCTGTTCGAGAATGAAAAGTCATGAAATAAAAAAGAAAGGATCAGATTTCAATTATTTTTCTCTCTTTTTCACTATTCTTTCCCCAAAAAAATGCTTTTCATCAAAAAATTCGATATGTGGATGTATTGAACATTCAGTTTTCTCTTCTCAAAACATTGCTCAATTTTGGGATGCTTTGAAAGCTTTTAAGCTGCTTAAAAGAAGACAAAATCTTTTATAATTCAACTTAAACTTTTCAAAATGTTAAAATTATGGCTTTTATAGATAGGTTTATTATAGATAGGTTTATTTAAATAGCTTTTATAAATAGACTTATCGATAAAAAAGGAAGTTTTGTAAGTTTTATTCTAAGTTTGATTATTCTATTTTTTATTTTCTTTTCTTTGACTCCTTGCCGTTTCTCACCATCAGCTAGTAAATTCGAAATCAAAAGTCAAAATGGAGCAAAGCTGTGAGGAGATTTTGATTGCCCAATCCTCAAAACATTGGCCAATTTTGGGATGCTTTGAAAGCTTTAAAGCTGCTTAAAAAAAGAAAAAAATCATTTATAATTCTATTTAAACTTTTCAAGAAGTTAAAATGATAGCTTTAAATAACTTTTATAGATAGATTTATTGATAAAAAAGTCAGTTTTATCAGTTGTCAGTTGTCAGTTTTATTCTAAGTTTGATTATTCTATTCTTTGACTTCTTGCCGTTTCTCACCCTCAGCTAGTAAATTCAAAATCAAAAGTCAAAATTGAGCAAAGCTGTGCGGAGATTTTGATTGCTCAATCCTAAGTCTATTTTTCTTATCTTTTCCTGTAAACTTTCATCTATCTTTTTTGAAGAACTTGAAAAATTCGATGCTCATTTGTTATGCGTTTTCCCAGCGTCTCCCGTCAGAAGGGATGCTCATCGACATCGACTTCTTCAGCTCATCGACAATTCCTATACTTTCAAATCCATTTCTTTTAACATCTACAATATTTCTTTACATTTCCAGATAAATTTGATCAATTTTGGCAAATTCCTGGCTCTTTTTCAACTACTTTTCCTCATTTTCTTTGCTGATTCTTTTCTTTGAACTACTCTGTGTACATTAGACTTCAAAAGTCTCTTTGACATCTCTTTGGACTTCAAAAAGAACCCAACTTCTCTATTTTTCTCACTTTTCTCCTCATAATCTTTAATATTTCATCTTTTTTTTGTTTCTTTGGTTTTTGAGTGTCCCTGCTTTTAATCCTAATCGACACCTAACAACGGAAAAAGCTTTTTTGAAGAAAATTTGTCTATTAAGTAACATTGTATTTTATGCGCATTTTAAAGCCTTTCATTCGATTTCTTTTAAATATTCTTGTAAATTGAGATTACCGTATTCTCTCTAATAGTAGTGCGCATTACTATTTTTTCAACCCCCTCCTGGACCGCAATTCTATTAGAGAGTGCACTACTATTAAAGAGTGCACTACTATTAGAGAGAATACGGTATTTCAAATTTAATACTAAAAATCTTCTACCTTTTTTCAAACTCATTCAGGTGATAAATTATTGAAAAGGCTCAGTTTTTCCTTTTTTTGCTTCTTTTCACTGAACCAGTTAGTCAAAAAAAATGTTCAAAATCAAGCTTATCTTTAGATTAGATTTACATTTTAAAACCATAGTCATTCTTAATCAAATTATCAAAAAAAATAAGCGGTTAAGTAGTAAATAAATTGAGAAATTGAAAATTCAATTCAAAATTTCATTAACCAATAAATCTCCAGTGGAATCAACTATGGAAACACGAATTTACAAAAGCCGATCAATTCCCTGTCTTTTTTTGCTTTCTTTTGTTTCTAGACTATTGTTTGCTTTGAAAAAAAGATCGAAACGTCCTTTTTTTTTGTCTTTTTTCACAAAAGCTATATTCCCATAGCTTTTCTGGCAACACAGATCCCCATCATCGATAACTTGATGTTTTTTCAATAGATTTATCAAGTCTATCAAATCTATCAAGACTATCAAGATATGAAATTCTCTTCTCTCTCGATTTCTCTTCTTCTTTTTCTCTTCTTTACTCAAAATCTTTGCCATTGATGTCATTATCTCAAGGTTGTTATCACTTTTCCCAAAATGTGTGAAAATCCGGAAATAATGAAAGTTTTTACCTATTTTAAACAGTAGACTTGGAAAAAAAGCCATTTTTTTTGCATTTTAGCAAACGATTTTCATTTTGAAATGAAATACAAACGACTTATTTACATAATGAAGATACATAATAATTCTAAACTTGGTAGCGAACTTGTAAATGACTAAAGCGGGAGTGGGACAAATGCGACCTTTTTTTTGCGCACTTGGACATTTGCGCACCTTTTTTTCCGCACTTAGCGCACCTTTTTTCCATTAGCGCACCTTTTTCGCGTTTAAAAAGCTTTTTAAGCTCTAAAAAGCTAATATTAACCAATTTCTATTCCAAAAGTTGTTTTTCTAGGTAATTTTAGGGCGTAGAATCGAAATTTTGACATATCAGAGCTTGTGGAAACAAACGGACGGAGTTATACAAAGAGAAAAATCGACAATTCTCTGTAATTTGATCTAGCCAGACAAAACGTCTTTCAAATTGGTTCCACACGCTCTGTTATGTCAAAATTTCGATTCTACGCCCTAAAATTACCCAGAAAAACAACTTTTGGAAAAGAAATTGGTTAATATTAGCTTTTTAGAGCTTTTTAAAACGCGAAAAAAGGTGCGCTAATGGGCAAGGTGCGCAAAAAAAGGTACGCAAATGTCCGGGTGCGCAAAAAAAAGATCGCATTTGTCCCACTCCCAAAACCTCTTAAGTTATAACGTTATAAAGTTACTAGTTTAAAACAATCAATCACTCTTTAGATTTTTCCACTTTTTCAGTAGCTCCCCTTTTTTTCTTTTTCTTTTCTATTGTCTACTGATAACCCTGCTAATCTGTCAATAAATCAATCAGATTTCTCTTCCAATTCAAAAAAGAAATCTGGCGTCAACTTTGTCAACCTATTTCTATTCTTCATAACATCTATTTCTTTGTTTTTGTTGACTTTTATGGATGACGAGAAGCTACTCAATGACGAGAAGAAAAAGGTGTTTTTTCTTCATTTTTATGTGTATTTTTGTGTGCTTTTGTGCTCACATTTAATTCTAAACTTGGTAGTGAACTTGTAAATGACTAAAGCTCTGGTGTCATTGTCAACTAAAGTCTGTAAAAGACTAAGTTATAACGTTATAACGTTATAATGTCATAAGTTACTAAAGACTCTTTGAAGTTTTACAAACAAGAGGCTAAGTTTAATGCTTTTTTAAAGACTAAAAAGTTATACCAGCTTAATAGTCATTAACAATCTGAGAATGAAATAAGAATGAAATAAGAATCGATTTCAGAAAGAATCTCCGGAACTCCATGCGAATCTTTTCTCAAAAATCTTCTTCTGCTGGCTAGCTCCACTCTTCGCCGCGGCAAAGAACAATGAGTATGACAAATCAAAGGTTTTCCCGATTCTCCCCGATTTCAAAAACGAAATCGTTTACGAGAAATGGTTGAATGTATGGGGTGAACAAGTTGATAGTAAGTGATATTTGACAAAACAAAAACTCTAATCTCTCTTTCTTTCTTAGAAGCACAAATGAAAAAGACGACACCGAAAACGTTTTGGATGATGTTCAACTTCGCGAAAGCTGAATGGATCAAAATGTTTGCCGTTCGATCAATCGCTGATATTTTTCAGTACATTCAACCATTGCTATTTACGTGAGTATCGTCATTAATGTCAAGAGTTCAGCTTTAATGAGTCAAATTCAAGGATTTCAGCAAGGAAAAGTCATTCTCTTGCTGTACTCATTGAATCGTACAATTCAATTGGGTACTCTGTTTCTGATGTGGCAAAGTAAACTACTCATTGAATGGTTTACTTTGCTAGATCAGAAACAGAGTACCCAATTAAATTGTACGATTAAAGTACAGCAAGAGAATGACTTTTCCTTGCTGAAATCCTTGAATTTGACTCATTAAAGCTGAACTCTTGACATTGTTCATTGAAAACATTGTTCCTTATCAAATTCATTATTGAATTAAACATTAATTAAACATTAAAACATTCAATTTCCAGTGAACTTCTTACCGCTCTTGGTGCTCCTGTTATTGATGTTGAATGGTGCTTAATCGTTTCAATTTTGATGTTTTTCATGGCCGAACTCCGATCATTCTGTCTAAGCTTTTTACTTTTCCGATTACTCAAAGTTGAGATTAAACTCAAAGCAGCCGTTGTTCGACACATTTATGAAAAGGTTGGGCATTAAATTCCAACTTTGAGACGACAAAAAGCTGCCGAGTCTAATAAGACACCAGAAATACCGTACCCTAAACAATGTCGTGCTCAAACGTGTATAAAACGACGCCTTCTTCTGCGTATTAAAACTAAATTGGGGGGTGGGACAAATGCTACCTTTTTTTTGCTGGAAAAGGCCTTAGGCAAGGCCGTAGAGCTTCGAAAATATTTCGAAAATACTTCCATATAAGGGAATCGTATGCGTAGATTCCGAATTTCGACAAATCAGACCTCGCTGACACGTCAAATTTGGGCTAAAAGGCAAAAACTGCGGAAAAGCGTTAAGTTGCGTAGTGTTTGCCTTTTAGCCCAAATTTGACGTGTCAGCGAGGTCTGATTTGTCAAAATTCTGAATCTACGCATACGATTCCCTTATTTGGAAACATTTTTGAAGCTCTACGACCTTTCCTAAGGCCTTTTCCAGCAAAAAAAAGGTGCGCAAATGTCCAGGTGCGCAAAAAAAAGGTAGCATTTGTCCCACCCCCCTAAATTGCTCTGTATTACGAATTACTAGTGAATGAATGTGTGAATGAATAACAAAGAACAAGCTTATTGGTGTGAAAATTTTTTAACGAAGCTCGAAAAAACAATGCGCTGACGTAGAGACCAAATTGAATCACTTTGATGAAAAAGAAGATAAGGAAATCACTTTGATGTAAAGAAAACAACTTTTACAAGACCAAATGAGAGAAGATTCTGTTCAAATGCGGAAGAAGTCGTCCTTTTATACGCGTCACATTGTTTAGAGTACGGATTTCTGGTGTCTTATTAGACTCGGTAGCTTTTTGGTACCTTGTCGTCAGTGACTTGTGATCTTGCTCTCGATTCACCAACAATTTTCAGGGAACCCGCCTCTCACCAACTTCTCAACAGAAATTCCCCGTTGGAGCCATTGTCAACTTGATGTCAGTCGATATTGAAAGATTAGTCCATGTGATCCCGTTCGTTCACCACTTCTGGGCTGCTCCGTTGCAGGTGAATCATCTTTGCAATCTTTTTCTACAATCTGCAATCTGTAGCTAATCTTTGCAACACTCCTCCTCATCAAGACTATCGGAATCTCAGCGATTCCGGGAATTCTCATCATCCTGTGCTATGTTCCTTTCAACTATTACACGTCGGTTTATATGAAAAAGTTTCACAAGAAAAAGATGCGATCCAGCGATCAACGATTGAAGCAATTGGAAGAGGTTGGGAAAAGCCTTGTGCTTCTAACTGACAAGGGAAAGGCAACAATAGGCTGTGGCTAAATGAGATAATCCATAGACAATTCGACGCAGAATTACATGCTGATTCCAGAATTAGCTTCGCGTTTTTGCAAAATAGCTTTCTATAAAAAGTTGTACGTGTTTTAATTTGGAAAAATGTGGAGTTTTAGGGTAATAATGCGAAAATTTGGAGTCGTATAGGATTGGAGCCGTATAGGATTGGAGCCGTATAGGATTGGAGTCGTATAGGGCTTGAAATGGGTGAAAAAAACCTTTATAAAGATCATCCACTCACGCATTTCAAAAGTGAGTGGATCTAGTGGATTAAAGGCTTGCATACAAAATGAGAGTCCCTTTTTTGCTCGAGTTCGGTTCCTTTTTGGCAACTTTTGTTTTGCGTTGATGTTTTTTATCAATTTAACATCTCAATTCTATCTTGCCTTTAAACTATTTTTTATAGTTATAATTTGCATTTTATAAAGCTAAGCCATGAAAATTAACATCGATAAAATCAATAAAAAAAAGCTTTAAAGGAAAAAGATAATAAAAATCTCGGCGATATGGCCAAACTTGTTGCCTTTTCATGAGATTTTTCTATAAAAAGATTCATAGAAAGATATAGAAAGATATTTAGACAGTGAGTGGAATCGAGACTGTGAAGACGCATGTTTGGGAGAATGCCTTCTCAAACAGAATTGAGGAATCGAGAAACAATGAAGTGAGAATGCTGAAGAACGCGAGTTGCATAGCGAGAGCTGTTGATGCAGCAAATATGGCTCTTCCTGTCATTGTGGGTTATTCGCCTCTACCGAAATCTAAAACATTCTTCTACAATTAATTCAAGGTTGCTGTAACATCATTCGGCGCTTTTGTCCTTTTCGAGACGTCTGATCTCACTCCAACAAAAGCTTTCGTCTCTTTGGCGATTTTCAACAAACTGAGACAACCAGCGAGAATTATTGCTCAGTTTTTGAATGGCCTTATGCAAGTAAAAGAAAACTATTTTTCTTTATTTAACAATTTTAGGCCCTAGTCGCCAACAAGAGGATAAAAGAATACCTATTGGCTGAAGAGAGAAATGCTGGAGAAAGTCGATATGTAATTGATGATAAAACACCAACTTTACAAGTGAGCTTTTAAAAAATACGATTGTCTTCTATTGTAGCTGTAATTCTATTGTAAAATTTGCACATTTAGATCTCAACGAAACTTTCGACAAAGCCATTGAACTTGATATTAAAGCGTGGTGATTTTGCGTCTGTTGTGGGAGCGGTTAGTAGCGGGAAATCAACTCTCTTGAATCGAGTTTTATGTAAGAAATATTGAAATTTGAAATTTGACAAAATAAAACTAAGGGAATGATTTAGGGAATGATTCTTCTGAGTATAATATAAAAGTGAACGGTCGGATTGCTTATGTTCCACAAAAGCCTTGGTTACCGAGAGGATCTGTGAAAAATGCGATCATTTTTGGATTGCCCTGGGATGAGAAGCACTATATAAAAGTGAGTAAAATGTCAAATTCGTTTAGAGTAATCATTGCATAGTCTAAAGGCTTCAATTATTTTCAGGTTGTTGATGCTTGCGAGCTGAAGACCGATTTCGAGCAATGGGCAAACGGAGATCAAACGATGATTGTGGGAATGGTAAGTGCTTTTGAATCTTGAAAGCTACTTCATTTTTGGATTAACTTAAGTAATTAGCTTAAGATATGCTTAGTTATTAGCTTAAGCAAGCTTAGCTTAAGTACAATGTATCGTATTTTTCTTAATAGTAGTCAAGCTTTGCCTAAATTCCTCGAAATCTCGAAAACCGCTTATTAAAACCGATCGATGTGGGGTCGGAAAATGTAGCTGAGGATGAGATCTAGTGGGAGATTAGAGTGTTGAGCTTCTGGAAACTTGGAAACTTGAAAACTTGGAAACTGTAAAATAGGCATTAACTCGGCTCGGTGGGATGCACTATTAGGAAAATATCTGCTTGAACTATTTTCTTCCTTTCAGAGTAACTCACTTTCGGGTGGACAACGAGCGCGACTCTCATTGGCTCGTGCTCTCTATCAACGAGCTGAACTGTACTTAATTGATGACACTTTTGCGAGTCTCGACCGAAAAGTTGGATCAAAAGTGATGAAGAATGTGAGCTCTCTCAATCCAAACTTTGCAAAGAAGTTTTAGATTCTTGGCTCAAATGGAATACTCAAAAACAGCGCTGTAATGATGGTTTCCAGTGATGTCGACTTTGGAAAAGAAGCAAAGGAAATTTTAGTTCTTTCGGGTTTGAAAAAATCGTTCTACAAATCAATGACGAATTCAGAGCACAAAGTGATTGCAACTGGTCAATACAAAGAACTCAGTGAGTGTAGTCAGGCATTCAAGGATTTACTTTCATACACTGGCAGTGAACGCACGAAGAACAAGGCGGCTGATGATGGTAACTCTGACAAGCAACCATCACAATTTACAATCCTTTTCAGAAAAGCCAAGAAGCCCTTCAAAATCAAGCACTAAATCAGCATTTGAAGATGAGAAAGTCAAGCCGGATAACAATCGACCGGTATGAAGGCACAATCCGATTTCGAATACCAATTTCCAGGCAAGTTGGTCAGTCTACAAGGCTTACATCGACTCGGCATCGAAAGTTTTCATCTTTGGACTCTTCACCGCCACAGCAGCCCATTTCATCTTGGGTGCACTTCGGAGCTTTTGGTTGTCAAAGTAAGTTAAAGACAGTCTTCACTTCTTTACTTCTTACATTCCAGTTCAACTGTGAAACTAAAATACGCAATCAGTTGTACTTCCATCATTTGTACCAAAGTTTACTTTTTCAGCTGGTCCGATGCAGCAAAGAACAAAACGGAGCGAGCCCTAGAAACTGAGGAAGAGACAGCGATTAGAAAAGCGAATGCACAGAATCGACTTTTTGTGTTCGCTGGGATTGGAGCACTAGAAGGTAGAAAAATTGTTTAAAAATTCACAATTCTTTTTAGTAATTGCTATTGCCATCGCCTATGTCTTCTTGGTGTTGATGGCTGAAAGAGCTTCCAAAGTTTTCCATAAGAAATTCGTCGTATCACTCTTAAATGCTTCGATGACAGTTCACCGGAAAATCGATGTTGGACAAGTGATGAATCGAGCTTCAAGAGTAAGTTTAGAATTTTGTTCAATGAAAGAATATTTCAGGACTGCAACATCTTCGATAATCGGACTCCGCTTTGCTTGAGACAAATGATTCAAAACACTATTCAAGTCAGTACTCTGAAATAATATTTTAGTCGATTTTGTGAACATTTTCATTCTCACAATTCTCAGAATGAAAATTTTTGCTTAATTGTAGATCGTGTGCAGTTTGGCAGTAGTCGCCATCTCAACTCCATCTTTCTTGTTTGCATTAGGACCCATAGCAATTGGATACATCTATATACAGGTCAGTTGTCAAGAACAATATGAAAAACTCAATAGTTTAGCATAATAGAATTTCATTTTTACTTTTAGAACAAGTACATTCCAACGATGAAACAATGGAGTCGAATCGAGCGAGCGCAATGGTCACCAGTGATCACACAAGCCACTGAAGGAATGGCTGGGGTTGAAGTGATCCGATCAGCTGCACAGGTATCGTTGAATCCTATTTTCTTAAACATTAGCATAATATGATTCTATTTTTACTCACATATTTGATTGCTATTTTTAGGAGGCAAGGTTTTCTGAACAATTTGTGAGCGAGATGGAGGACTATGTGAGAGCTGACTACTTGGAGAACCCGATGAAGCGCTGGCTTATGCTTAGGTAGGAAAAATGATTTTACTTATTATGAGACGCAAAGTTTATAGTAATATCAGGTTGGTGAATTGAAAACTGCAGGACTTTGAACTAAAATTTATTCAACATAAAACCATGAATTCATTCCAAATAATTTCCATTATTCTTGACGACTTGTGCCCATTTTACAGGCAATTTGCGGATTCCTCTTTCGTAGTAGGATTTTGGTTTGTGTGTGAGACAAGTGTGAGACTCAAAAATGGAGGACTGGAGATGTCCCAGTTTGAGCATTTGAGCACTTTCTTCAAAAGAAACCCATTTTGGTGTCAATAGAAAAGTTGTAGAGAATCAAAAATGAGGCTTATAGCCAAATTTCCAAAAAGATACACTTAATAGTTTCGCTTAAAATGCAAGTTTTGGGAAAATTCGTAAATTTGGCATTTCTTGAAAGCCAGTTTTTGAATCGTTCTGAAAATTTGGATATAAACTTGATTTTCGATTCTCTACAACTTTTCCATTGAGACCAAAATGGGTTTCTTTTGAAGAAAGTGCTCAAACTGTCACATATGACAAAAGCCCGCAGTTTTCAATTCACCAGCCCAATAGTAATAGCAAATTTTAAAATCTATTCAAGTATTCTATTTCAGACTTGATATCATCGGGAATTCAATCACTTTGTGCTCATCGTTGCTCTGCGTTTGGTCGATCTCAAACGGAAATCTTACGCCCGGGGTGGCCGGTCTTTCAATTTCGTTCGCCATGACTGTAAGGAACAAAAAAAATATTTTATTTGATAGTTGCGGGTATTCTTTACAGACAAAAGTCTTGCAAAACAATCAAAACAATAAATTTAATAAGATTTCAGGTCACCGAACAACTAGGACATTTGGTTCGAATGGTGGCTGAGATGGAAACGAGTATGATTGCCGTGGAAAGGATCAAGAAATATGTGGATCTCGAGCCAGAGGTTGGATAGGAAAAAAGACAAAAAATACTTAGTCAAGCTGCGTAGTTAATCAAGCTCAGTTTAGGACTCACAGGCTCACGAGAATGCAGAGAAGGAACGACTTCTTAGTGGAGATGTTGAATGGAAAGATTATTATGGATCATACCGGTAAATGACTATTTGATACTTGAATTTTTATATGTTTTAGCAAAAACGGAACCCCTGTTCTCCATGGAATAACGATGAGAATTCCAGCTGGTGAACGAGTGGTGATTGTTGGGAGGACGGGAAGTGGTGAGTAGACAGATTAACATAACATTTCACAGCCATTACATTTTCATTATCTACTTACTTTCTCAAAAAGATTACTCATTTCATGAAATTTCAGGGAAATCGTCGACTTTTCTGTCTTTGTTGGGAATGCTCGAGAAATGCGGGGGAGAGATTGATATCAACGGGATTTCAACCTCAAACATCTCGGTCAAGAAATTGCGAAAACATTGCGCGGTTGTGCCACAGGTTTGATAAAGATAAAAAAAGATAAAAGAAAGCTCAAGAAAATGATTCTGTTCAGTCAGTGCGGATCTTTGATGATTCCGTTCGTTTCAACATTGATCCCGAGAGAAAACACGATGATATCGAGTTGTGGAAAGTTTTGGAAAGATCCGGATTGAAAGCGCTGATCTCGTGGAAAGATGGCCTTGATGAGCGCTTGTGTGCGGATATTATGAGGTACGGGAATTGGTAATGAAAGAGTATCAAGGCTAACAAATGTCAAAGCTCAAATGAAAGAGGTGTGTCTGTCTGTGTCTGACTACTTCTCCGCATCCAGTTGACTGTTTCGAATAACTTATGATTAGTTTGGCTTAGAATTCCATGTAGTTATGCAAAATATTTTTAAATTTAAAAAAATCAAAAGTGCAGACACGGGCGGGAGTCGAACCCGGGTTGTGTGGGCTAGAGGCAAGTGCGCTCGCACTACACCATCAACGTCGACGCCATAAAAAACATGGCCGAGTGGTTAACAAGCATGGATGATTAACAGTCGCACACAAGGGCATGGCCGAGTGGTTAACGGGCTCGTCTCTCAAACGAACAGAAGAGAGAGATCGGGGGTTCGACTCCTCTCACCACCAATTCTTTTGCTTTTTCCTCCAAAAACTTTTTTTAGCGAAGTAAAAGATACGTTTGAGTGGTGGCTCTTTACCGCTTGCCTTTCATTCTATCTATTGAGCTCTCCTGGGTTGATCGCGTATACTTTGCGCTGAATATAATTTGTGTGCAGTGCGTGAGAGGGTACCGACGGGCTATGGTTATTTAGATATTTATTCTGAATATAGCGCAATACTAATCTAGCGAGAAAATATAATAAAATAAAATAGAATCAATCGTTGGTTCAGTGTAAAAGCCAAATGAGCAGGAATACAAAGTGGGCTCCGTCCCCTTTAGCACACAAACGATCTTTTGAGGAAGGACAAGGAGAATCAGAGATATTCAAAATCAAAACATTAGACAAGATTTCACAGAAAAGAGCCACTTTTCTGCACAATTTGCTATTTAGTTAATGTCCAACTTTTAGTTCAGCTTTTATCTGACTTTCAGTTTAGTTTTAACTTGTACTTAAGTCGGCTTATAGAAAGTGTCGAAATATTCGAAATAGTCACAATTTCCAATGTCCAATGTTCAATGTTGATTTTAGTCATGGACAAAGACAGCTCCTTGGCGTCTCAAGATCTCTTCTCTCCGGTGGTGAAAACTTCCAGGGTTGTCTCCTTTTGGATGAACCGTTTGCTTCAGCGGATTCAGCTGTTATGGTAAATATCGACAGTTTGGATCCCAATCTAATCATCCACCAAATTGCAGGCAAATCTCGAACAAGTGATCCCCAAATGGTTCAGCCGAGCCACCGTTTTCACGATAACACACAAACCACCAGCTGATGGCACTTATGATCGGTTAGACTTTAGAAAATAGCTTTAGAAACGAAAATAATCAAACTCAGAATCAAACTTATAAATCAGAAAATTGAAATTCAGACTAATTGAAATCTCAAACGGGGAAATCGTTGCTCAACACGTGACTTCTCAAGAAAATGCTCAAAGCGAGTAACATTCAAATGACCTTCGCTTATTTGTGAATTGTGATATTGTTTCTGTACATAGACCAAAACTTTTGAGCTTTAATAAATATGAAATAAACAAAGTTGATCAATTATAGTATTGGGCAAAAGTTCTCGGAGTTGTCCGTTGATATTCCTTTTCACAAGCTCGACGCATTTGCCCGAATTCTTCCTAAAGATATTTTTAAAGTAAATAGACTTTTTAATAATTGAATTAGATGCTAATTTTCATATATTTTACCATTACATTAAGCCCAGTTTCCATTGATTTAAAGAAAGCGATGAAAGTGGCAAAAAGCGCACAGAGTGGAGTGCTTAACCAGAGAAATTGGCAAAAGATAAAAGTCGCTCTTCCAATGGACATCTAAACTTATAACTTATTTCGTTTAAGCTTAGAGGTTTAGATGCTAGAAGAGAATCTGTTACTTCCACTAAACCTGATCATAAGCAAAATATGAAGGCAACTCGACGAAGCCAATTCCCAACGCTATTCGGAGATTGTATTTGATGGCCTGTGATGCGCTCCAATTGTTCTCTTTCATTGAAAGTGTGGCACCTAAGAAATTGAATAAAAGCTTTAATTGCACAACTGAATACTCAATCCAAACATGGCCACCAGGAGAATCATTGTCAGTCCCAATGTGATGGCTTCTCGAGAGATCAAAATCTAGCAAATTTGAATTTGAATGCAATGAATGCAAAGGATATGAAGCTATGAATACCCAAATCCCAGAGTCAGCTCTTTGATGCTCATCAACTTTGGGAACAAGTTTTTGGACGAGAAAACGAATCAAACCACGGTAAACCTCCACAATTGAACCTAAAGGACATGATCTCTGAACTGTTATCTTGAATAACACTATACTACACTTTTTTCTATTTTATAACATTTACCAAGAAGTAGAGTGACAAAAATAGCTCCAATAACCGTCGTAGCAAGTCGCAAGCCTATAGCAAGTCGACAAATTGCGTGAGAACACTGCATTTCGCGGAGATTGATCAGGAAAATGTTTGTCGTGATCTAAAGTCGGATTTTCTTGGTAGAACTTGAATTGTGAACATAAAGCGTTGAACCATAAAGCGTTAAACTAAAGCGTTGAACATAAAGCGTTGAACATAAAGCACAAAAAGACTTGTGCTTAATAGTTTATTCACCTGAGCAGCAATATTCGACACTTTCCATCTTGAATGAATTGATTGAAGATTCAGCTCAAATGTGCTCCCATTTGGATAGGCTTGATTCGAGTAAGTGCCGATGATTTCTGAAAAGATTCCCAAAAGAAAACTTTCCATTTTCTCACCTTCCCATTCCCTTTGCGTTAAATTTACATTGGTTGCGATGCGGAGGAATTTTGTTAGAGCTGTATACCTTTGTGATTTCACCTTGGCGATCGAGGCGAGCTCTGTTTGTTGTTGTAAAAGCTCGGCTTTATGTTCAATGTTTTGCAGCCATCTGAAAGAGAACAAAAGGAAAAAGCCAGCCAAATCTCTAGATCAATGAGCCTACCATTGTTACAATCTACCCAGCCAATGACAAGACAGTTTTATTCTTTCTTGTTTTACTCACATTGGAATCACGACCAGCAACCCTGCAAATGCAAACAACACAATTGTAATCACCAAAAAATCTCCGAAAAACATTTCCCTTGTGGTGAAAGTAAAATTTTCCCAAAATACTTGAGAATTTATGGCAAAATACTTGAGAATTTGTTGCGTAGGACAACAAAGCTGTAGTCGATAGCAACCAAATGCTAAAAATGATGCTAAAAACCGATTTATAAAATAAAATCATATGAAACTTATGAAAAAATCTTTGCTAAAGGAAATACATCAAAATGAGGAAAACAATTCTCATGGATAAACGAGTATTCACAATACTGAAAACCCCAAGCATTGATTTCAAAGGAGAAAAGCCAATAACCAGTGAGGCTTAAAGATTTCAAGATTTTGTAGGTTTCGGCGGCTTCTTGATGGGTTTCGACCAATATCTGGAAACTGGAAATTGATGTTTCAAATCTGCTTTGAAAAGGCTTAAAGTTCAGCCATTCCGATTTGGTTTTGTTCAAGTGAAATGAAATTAAAAGTTCTATAGGACTTTCTATAGGAACCTAGCCAATGACTTTCCGATTTTGGCGTAATTTTTAGACTCGAGGCAGTAAGTGTAGACCATTTAAAAATAAATTTACTTACACGAATAATGTGATACAAATAATACAAAAGCACAGCCCCTTAAAGTAAGCCTTAAGCCACTCAACCCTTAAGCCCTAAATGTAGGAAAAAGCCTAAATAATAAATAGAAGAAGGAGTAATCTAGCCGGTGGGATTGAAGCCTTGACCTTCCGACTAACAAGGAAATGATCCGGCCGGGACGATTTCGCTACGCTGCTAAGATGCAAATAAATAAAAAGTGTTTTAAAGGTTTAGCAAATCCAGAAAAAGAATTTTCGGGACCAGATTCGAACCAGGGCCAAGAGAAGCAGAAGCGAGACCTAGAACGCGCAGACTTACCCCATCCGGTCGCGCTTGAGGGGTATGGAAAGAGCCCATATATTGCCGACGTGAATTCCCTTTCCCGAGTAGACGCCCAAATTTTGCAAGCGTTTCTCTTGTAAACTAGAATGGACAAAAAAATAAATAGAGGATCGTGTCCCATGCTCGATAGGCGTTTGCATCTCAGCGGCGAAATCGTCCGGCTATTTTGGACCATTCCCTTGTAAGAGCCTCTTAGCCAGTCGGCCATGGCGGCTTTGGATATGAAAACAAACCTGACACGGTTGATAGACTTTGACAAACTCCGGCAAAACCTTGCTTTCTCCACCTTCAATATCAATCTTGAAAATCTAAAAGCACTTTTGAAAATGTTTATCTTTTGATAAACTCACATCAATCGTTCTATTCTTTCTTTTCTCCACTTCTTTCACGATCGATATTTTCACTTCTCCATTTTCTTTTAACTCATCCGATGCAACGATTCGACCTGTATCCGCAAATCTCTTTACTCAATCAAAAAAACGAACGCCACCAGCTTTCAATTCGCCGTTGATCGATTCGTATTCGCGTTTTATACTCTCTATTTGCTCAGCCTGTGATGACCGAAAAATTGCAAACTTTCAACCAATTCTACCAGATCATATCCGTAAACTCTACATCGATTCTTTGTTATTTTTTGCACGTCCGTCTCGAAATCGATTTGACCATTGATACCAAGAGAATAAATTGTGCAGTTGTCGGGTAGACGCCAAGGATTGCACACCTAGATTTGCATATGATCTAATGCCTAATAGATTAATAGATAATATCTAATTTATAATATCAAATGCCTAATAGATAATATCTAATTTATAATCCCTAATAGATAATATCTAATTTATAATATCTAATGTCATTTATTTGTTTTTTTAAATCGATTACCCATTTCCCGCCATCACCAACTACTCCAATACGCAGCTTTGACGGGCACAGCACCTAAAATGAATCAACCTTGATTGCTATTTTGAGATTGGACCCCGCTTGCCTAGTTCGGAGCACTTGCCAAGTCTGTCTCACTTGTGAAATTAACTGAACTCAATTTTGTTACACTACGATTAGTTAATTCATAGATCCCTAATGTAAATCTGATTTGAACCAGCTTGGATGCATGATGCTGATGGATCCAAAGATTTTTTTAAAAACATTTGTGCAATCAATCGAAAAATAATTGGAAAACGTGCGGGAGAATGTTTGTTGAGAGAAGGCGCAAAAATCAAAAGCTAAGCCTTGATGGAAAAGTCCAAAATCAAGGAATCAAAATTGAGTTGAAATAACGAAACTATTTAAAGTTTTTGGATTGAAACATTTAAACGAAGATGGACAATTTAGAGTTGAACTTTAGTCTGACTATTGTTTTGTTTACTTTGGACAAATGAATCAACCTCAATCGCTAGAGCATTGTAGAAAATGGGTGGCTGTGTATTCATATCCATTTCTTGAAATACCCGACGACGAACTAAATAGAGATTGGGAACAGTTGGAAAAGTCGTACCTGGTGCTTGTCTGATATGCTCTAATCTAGTCTTCTCATAGTTATCGAATGTCTCATTTTTAGTGCAATCTAAAGTGAGAATCTTATGGGAAACGTAAACATTTGCCATCTGGCACAACAGATTCCTTCGTTTCAAAGATATAGCTTTACAATAATGATGATACAAATGCCAATAAAGCAAAAATAAAGCAAATCACTGAGAATGAAGGGGAATTGTTTTGTCGAACTGTCGAACGAACTCCTTTTTGTTAAAGATATGCGTTAAAGATTCCCGTTAAAGATAGGCGTTAAAGATTCCTGTTAAAGATAGGCGTTAAAGATTCCTGTTAAAGATAGGCGTCGGCGTTTCCAATTTTAACAAAAACTATAACAATTTAAGGATCTTTCACCCGCATCCCCCAATAGCCCTTGATTGAAGCTTTCGATTCCGATCCCACATCAATAGTCTAACTTCAATGGGTGAAGAGATTTCGATCACTTTGTAGACCATATAATTTCTTCACGGTAATTACACACATTCCATTTACCGTTAAGCATCTCTACGCCCAAAAACATTCACCTTTTCCAATGAACTTCGGGAGATTAAAAGACGGTATTGAGTCGAGATCAACAAGATAGATGACGCTAATGCCTGGAATTTCGCGTAAAAGTTTACAATATATTCAACAAGTTCAATATATTCATTTTTAGCCTTTTAGCTAAAGTAGCTTTTTAGCTAAAGTGCTAAAGTACTTACCTATGAAAAACAGAATTCCACAGCACCCGACGACAATTTGATTCATAAAGTTCAGATCACAAAGTGACCCGCTCGATCGGAGAGCCTAAACCCCAACAATAGCCTTTCAAAAAGTATTCTAGATCGATAAAAATTCATTTCACGAAAAAAAAATCAAAAAGAATCCACGTAAACTCCCGATATTGACCCCAGAATTAAGAGGAAAATGGCTTGGCTTTGTACACCGCACCAGGCAGGGAAAAGAGAGAAAATAGCACGTTTATTTTGGTGTTTTGTGTTCCCAGCACAATTGGAGGTGGGTGGTTGGCGAGAATTTCTGGAATTCCAAAATTATTGTACAACTCAACCAGATCAGATAGATTTTTATTGGAAAAGAAAAAAAAACAAAAGCTTTTCACAACTTTTGATCGAAACAATCGATCGTTAAAGGTCAAAGAATTGTGAAACGATCAATTTCGATAGCTTTAGCAATACTATGAAAATACACATAGCACAAGAGAATTCTTTATGACACCGATGTTCCTTTCCCTTTTCAGAAACGCTCGTTTATTTGCCCAATTCCAATCAACAAACAAAAACAACAAATACATTTATTTAGATATCAAGGTGATCTCTTTATACTGCTTGGCAGGTATATTTTTTCAGAGTCATGTCCAGCTTTTTCGCGTAGCCTATGCAACAAGTGTTTCTCGGGAAAATGCAGAGATCATTTGTGCAACCGATTTGTTGAGTGAAAAGACCACTAAAAATTGTGTTAAGATTTTTATTCCTAAAATTATTAGATAGATACCTGCACTGACATCCTGGTGGCATACAGTAGCGGGCTTGGCTTTGTACACCGCACATCCCGCATGTGTCATTGCATGACGAGGTGTTGAACCATGGCTGCCAAGTGCCGGTGCAAGTGGCTGGCTGAAAATTGTTAGGATTTTGGGGATACTGTACAATGTAGAAGTACAATGTACAATGTACAATGTAGAAGTACGATAAGTTATAAAAGTATACGATAATGCCAGTAAAACATCAATGCATAGTATCAAAAAGTATCCCTACAAGTGCGGTTTGACAAAAGATTGTTCCATCATAGGCAACAGCTTGATAGGTTCCCGCACAGCACGCTGATCCAGTTGTGCAGCCGATTTGACCACAGGCTTGTGTTTTTGTTGAGCTTCCACTGAATTCGGAAAACTCTTACGATGAATTGAATAGCCTTACGTGCAAGGACACCCATAAGCTGCCGAGGCACAAGTTCGATTGCTCGTTTGGGTTCCACAAAGTCCACAAGTGGCAGAACATGTGCTCCATGAGCTCCAATCGTTCCAGAGGCCAGTTCCGGCTGAAATTGAAATTGAAATTGAACTGAAATCCAATCCCACAAGAATCTCTCTTCTCAATTTCTTCTACCTGGTGGGCAACAAGTTGTCGTTTGAATCGGTGTCGGGGTGACGGTGACGTTCAATTGACAAGTGTACAGCTTTTTCACCGTATCGATTTTCTTAATGTACGGCGAGCAACAAGTTGGATTCGGGAAAGCGCATATAGTCTCCGTTGATTGAACTGTTTGTGTGGTGGAACCACTAAAGGCTTTAAGGGATCAAAAGTAAGAGCTTTTGGACTCACGTGCACGAACAGCCGTACACCGACGAGAGACATTTACGGCTTTGACTTTGTGAGGCGCACATTCCACAAGATAAATTGCCGTACTGTCCACCAAGTTGAAGGACTCCCACGTTTGTCCATGCACCCCAGATTCCTGAATTCATTCAATTAAGCAACAATTGCATTGTTGTACCCTCAGTTGGACAGCAAGTCGTTGAGCAATTGTTGAATTCAGGAGCATCAGCGACCACCTGGATTTAAATGTTAGCTTTAGCAAAAAGTTGAAGAGATTTTACCGTGGGTAGTGGACCACAAGCGTTCATATTGTTGTACACTCCTGTCGTCATTCCTGGACAACAAGAGAGCCGAGGGAAATAACAAACCCCTATATTGCAAAGGTCAACACGTTGAGTTTGCCCACTATAAAGATATTATAATTCAGGAGATCTGAAGCACTAACTTGCAAGGGCAGCCGCTGGCAAGCGAGGAACAGGTACGAGTGTATGTGATGTTTCCGCATGAACCACAGTAGTCTGGACATTGGCCTTGTGCCGTCCACTCTGTCCAAGTTCCATTCGGTGGACAACACATTTGAGTTGTAGTTGGGACTGTTGTTGTGGTCGTAGTAGTAGTGGTAGTTGTTGTGGTCGTTGTGGTCGTCGTCGTCGTCGTTGTCGTTGTAGTTGTGGTCGTTGTTGTAGTTGTAGTGGTAGTTGTTGTAGTCGTCGTGGTGGTTGTTGTGGTGGTTGTTGTTGTGGTTGTAGTCGTGGTTGTAGTTGTAGTTGTAGTTGTTGTAGTCGTCGTGGTGGTTGTTGTGGTGGTGGTTGTTGTGGTCGTTGTGGTAGTCGTCGTTGTCGTTGTAGTTGTGGTCGTAGTAGTAGTGGTAGTTGTTGTGGTCGTTGTTGTGGTGGTTGTGGTTGTGGTTGTAGTCGTGGTTGTCGTCGTCGTAGTTGTAGTTGTAGTTGTTGTAGTCGTCGTGGTGGTTGTTGTGGTGGTTGTGGTAGTCGTTGTTGTGGTGGTTGTTGTTGTAGTTGTGGTTGTGGTCGTAGTAGTAGTGGTAGTTGTTGTGGTCGTTGTGGTAGTCGTTGTTGTGGTGGTGGTTGCTGTGGTTGTAGTCGTGGTTGTCGTTGTGGTCGTCGTAGTTGTAGTTGTAGTTGTTGTAGTCGTCGTGGTGGTTGTTGTGGTTGTTGTGGTTGTTGTTGTTGTTGTAGTCGTTGTCGTGGTAGTCGTTGTCGTGGTGGTTGTTGTTGTGGTTGTAGTCGTGGTTGTAGTTGTAGTTGTAGTTGTTGTAGTCGTCGTGGTGGTTGTTGTGGTAGTCGTCGTTGTCGTTGTAGTTGTGGTCGTAGTAGTAGTGGTAGTTGTTGTGGTCGTTGTGGTAGTCGTCGTCGTTGTCGTTGTAGTTGTGGTCGTTGTTGTAGTTGTGGTTGTGGTCGTAGTAGTAGTGGTAGTTGTTGTGGTCGTTGTGGTAGTCGTTGTTGTGGTGGTGGTTGTTGTGGTTGTAGTCGTGGTTGTCGTTGTGGTCGTCGTAGTCGTGGTTGTCGTTGTCGTCGTCGTAGTTGTAGTTGTAGTTGTTGTAGTCGTCGTGGTGGTTGTTGTGGTAGTTGTTGTGGTTGTTGTTGTGGTTGTTGTTGTGGTTGTTGTTGTTGTAGTCGTTGTCGTGGTAGTTGTTGTCGTGGTCGTTGTAGTCGTCGTGGTGGTTGTTGTGGTTGTTGTGGTTGTTGTGGTTGTTGTTATTGGAGTTGTTGTCGTTGGAGTTGTAGTGGTGGGCGTAGTAGTTGTGGGCGTTGTCGTAGTGGGTGTCGTAGTTGTCGGTTTAGTAGTGGTTGGAGTTGTGGTTGTGACTTTGGTCGTCGTAGGTGTTGTAGTTGTCGGAGTCGTAGTAGTTGGAGTAGTAGTGGTCGGTGTTGTGGTCGTAGGTTTTGTCGTGGTTGGCATTGTAGTTGTGCCAAGAGTAGTCGTGTTAAATGCAATGTACGCTGAATTTTATATTCTCAAAATTTCCAATTTCCTATCAAATTACTTTCACAGGCAAACTGGCCGTTTGACGGTGACCAAGTTCCGTCAGAATTGCACGTAAATGTATCATTAAAATATATGGGAACACTCGGATCTCCATAATGATCCCCGGAAGGAGTCTAAAAGTGGATAAGTTTAACAAAACAGAAACTTGGATAGGTACCCCAGTTGCTGTGCCATCTGTTAGATAAGTGGCTCCGTAAACCCACTCAAAACCGCCACACGTCATTATCACAGTCTAAGCTCCTTGATATTCAAATTTTCTTAAATATGCAAAACAAACTTTACAGCCTGAACCGTCGGTGCCATAACTGAAGACCGGATCGTTGTAGAAGATCAAAACATTGCAATCAGCAGGCTCAGCCATAATGCACGTGCCGGCGGGTTGGGCAGCGCCACATTGAGTACAATCCGCTCTCTAAAGTGAGTCTAAATTCTAAGTTTGCAAACATAGTTTAGTAAGTCAAGAAAATAAGTCAATCTATGTATTCTTTACTCATTGCACTCACTTTAACCCTTTTATGGGCCGCTTGTGGATTGCTCTCATCTTGTGGTGAACTATCACCATGCCACCATCCGTTGATTTCAGCGAATGAAAGCGTTTCAACAGCTTGTACGATGAGAAGCAATGCGACCCATTGTTTGAGCATCCAAAATATGTTATTAGTACAAAACTATTAGCGGTTTGAGATAAAATAAAAGATAGAAAACGGTTTTCATAGGTTTATATTTCGTGAAAACTGAAAAAAGACAGCAAAAGTCTACTGGATTGAATCAGAAACTGAATCAAAACTTTTAAACCGAACACAGGAAATTGGAATATATTTAAGTGCAAATGCAAGAGCTTTAAGTTTTCCCCGTGTCTTCTTTGTGTACTTTGTGCAAGAGAGACAGAAGGTATATTTTCGATTGCCTACACAGCGACTCGTGTCTCTTCGAGCAGCTGCACCAACACCTTTTTTTGAACTTTAAATCTTGCCTCCTCATGGTTTTATGTTGGCAATGCGGTCAGTTTAGTTAACTATTGCCCCGAATTTGTCTTGCATCGACCGACTTCCGGACAAAAAGTCGAATTCAGATGTGTAACTTTAGTCTTTATTGATTTAAACTCCGTTTATTAGCAATCGTTTATTAGCAATCGTTTATTAGCAATCGTTTCCTAAATACAGAAAAGGGGCAATTGGAAAACGTGACTTCAGATCAATAAATTTCAAAAGAAAAATACCTAAATGGCTTGGCAAGTATACTTTTTCAAAACAATATCTAATTTTTTGGCATAACCCGCACAACAAACAGGAGCAGTTGAACAGAGCGCCGATCCACAAGCGATATTACGAGTGAAAGCACCGCTAAAAATGTAAAAATGTCTGATACTTTTAATACTTTCGCTTGCTGTAAATACTGTAATTAAAGCCTCTCCCAAATTTGCATAATTTTACTTTTTACAAACTGCTAGGGGGGGGGGGGGGGGGGGGGGGGGGGGGGGGGGGGGGGGGGGGGGGGGGGGGGGGGGGGGGGGGGGGGGGGGGGGGGGGGGGGGGGGGGGGGGGGGGGGGGGGGGGGGGGGGGGGGGGGGGGGGGGGGGGGGGGGGGGGGGGGGGGGGGGGGGGGGGGGGGGGGGGGGGGGAAAGTCTTCAAAATTGATCGCAGATCTAAAGCCTCCTTCAATGGACATCTAGTTGAGCTGGATTGTGACTGCTTGGAACACGCAACCCATGTTAAAATCTTCCAAAATATGTAGAATCGGAATCGCTTCAAATGAAGATGAAGATCACTTGATTCATTGTTTAAAATCAGATGGTTTGATCTCAGGAATGCACATTCTGAAAGATGCTTGCATGGAAAAAGAAATCGACGATCGTGTAGAACCCTTCGAATCGACAAGATTTCAGGGAGATTGATCCAGAAGAAGAAGCCGATAATTTCGTTGACTCCGATGTTTCGATTGACTTTAATGCCTAGTTTAGATCATTTTCAATTTGTTTTTGCTAAATGTTGTTGGTTATTAGCACTTTTTTTTTGCTGTTTATACTGTTTTTTTGAATAAAATTGAAAGAAATAGAAAAAAAAATTAGTTTATCGAACGAATCTATCTGTCAGTTGATTCAATTTTGGTAACTTGAAATTTTTCAAAAGAAAACTAAGCCCCGGGGCTTCAATTACAGTATTTATGGTCAGGTATTATCCATGAGTACTCAAAACTGACCTGCATTTACACCCTGGTGGCATACAGTAACGAGCTTGACTCTGGGTCCCGCACATTCCACAAGTGGCAGAACACGGTGTTTCATTAAACCATGGCTGCCAAGTACCCGTACAAATGGACGGCTAAACAGATCCAACTAAAAAACTAAAAAGCGACAAGTACCGCGGTGAGTCGGCAATATTTTGTTCCATCGTAGGCGACTGCTTGCACTCCAGCACAGCAGATTGTGCCAGCGGGACAACTCGGGTTTCCACACTTTTGCGTCTCAGCCGCTTTACCACTAAGAATTTGATTGGATACGAAGATTTATTGAAACCTACGTGCATGAACATCCGTAGGCCGCAGAGGCACAAGTTCTTGACCTTGTTTGAGTGCCACAAAGTCCGCACGTTGCAGGACATCTGCTCCAGGAACCCCATTCGTTCCAGAGACCAGTTTTATCTTAAAGAACGATAAGTTTCTTCACTTTTTATTATAAATTTTTGATTAAAGATTCCAAACCTGGAGGACAACATGTGGTTTTTGTTGGAGCTGCTGTAGTAGAGCTGGTGCTCAGCTGACAAGTGTACGTCTGCGTACTTGTATCAAGCTTCTTTACATAAGGAGCACAACACTCTGTGTTCGGAGTCTTGCACGGGAAAGGAATCACCTTTACAGTTTTCGTCTTCACACCACTAGAATCATTCTTTTTGAAATCATTGATCGATTGATCGATCGTTGTTATTCGATTAACTTACACGCAAGGACAGCCATAGCTCAACGATAAACAGTTTCGAGCTTGCGCTTGTGTGGGACACATTCCACAAGACAAATTCTTGTACGGTCCACCAGGTTGCAAATTTCCGACATCAACCCATTCACTCCAGATACCTGGAAAAGTTTTTATTGAGTTGTCATTAAGTTTCGAAACCTTTTGTGGGACAACAAGTGTTTGTGCAATTGTCGAAAGATGGATCTTCTACCGTATTCTAAATGAGTTTAATTACGTATGATTTCTGGACTGTAAATCAGGTTTTAAATCATGTTTAGATCAATCAAATGTTTCTAAAACTCACAGTTGGAAGCGGTCCACACGAGTTAATATTGTTCCAAAGACCCGTCGTCTTTCCGGGACAGCAAGAAAGACGAGGAAAATGGCAGACAGCCACATTACAAGCCTCAACTTGAGTCGCAGCTCCCCTAAGATCTCAGATCAATTAAGAATAATTAAAAAGGTTAGACTTACTTGCAAGGGCACCCATCCACAAGAGAACTACAAGTTCTTTTATAAGTGATATTGCCACAAGCACCACAGTAATCCGCACATTCGTTTTGCGCTGTCCACTCGCTCCAGGTTCCACTTGGAGGACAACATTTTGCAGTGGTAGTTGTTGTTGTTGTTGTCGTTGTCGTTGTCGTTGTAGTAGTAGTGGTAGTTGTAGTGGTAGTTGTCGTAGTTGTTGTGGTCGTTGTGGTCGTTGTCGTAGTTGTGGTTGTCGTAGTAGTAGTAGTCGTTGTCGTTGTAGTTGTAGTGGTTGTTGCGGTTGTTGTCGTAGTTGTGGTTGTCGTAGTAGTAGTAGTCGTTGTCGTTGTAGTTGTAGTCGTTGTAGTTGTAGCCGTTGTAGTTGTAGTCGTTGTAGTTGTAGTAGTAGTGGTGGTAGTTGTAGTTGTAGTAGTCGTTGTCGTTGTAGTTGTAGTGGTTGTTGCAGTAGTTGTTGTAGTGGTTGTTGTAGTGGTAGTAGTCGTAGTTGTTGTGGTCGTTGTGGTAGTCGTCGTTGTAGTTGTGGTCATGTAGTTGTGGTCGTTGTAGTTGTAGTCGTGTCGTTGTCGTTGTAGTTGTAGTGGTTGTTGTAGTGGTAGTTGTCGTAGTAGTAGTCGTAGTTGTTGTGGTCGTTGTGGTAGTCGTCGTTGTCGTTGTAGTTGTGGTCGTTGTTGTAGTTGTGGTTGTGGTCGTAGTAGTAGTGGTAGTTGTTGTTGTTGTCGTGGTTGTAGTGGTTGTGGTGGTCGTAGTGGTAGTAGTCGTGGTAGTTTTTGTTGTCGTAGTAGTAGTGGTCGTAGTTGTCGTGGTGGTCGTTGTTGTGGTGGTCTTTGTAGTCGTAGTTGTTGTGGTTGTCGTTGTAGTTGTGCTCGTGGTTGTAGTTGTAACCGGGGTGGTAGCTTAATTAGACCGTTGTAAGGAGTTTACCACTCTTCCATACTTTCACAAGCAAATTCTCCGTTAGAAGGAGCCCATGTTCCATCGGCAGCACATGTGAAAGTGTCAGTCATTGTAAGCGTTACCCCAAGGTCACCATAATGATCACCAGACGGAGTCTAACAAAAGTTAAACTTGTATTGATAAAGCACACTTACAACGGTTGGAGTCGTACCGTCAACGAGATAAGTTGCTCCATAAACCCAATCCTGCCCTTGACATGCCATAGTAACCGTCTAAAGAATGTAGTTAAATATCGGATAAGTACAATAAAGATTGTCTTTCTCACTTTGCATCCACTTCCGTCCGTTCCATATGTGAATAGGGGATCTTCATAGAATATCAATGAATTACATTCGGAAGGATCTGCCAAAATACAAGTTCCAGCAGCAACTGCAGCTCCGCATGAGGCGCATCCACTTTGTCGCTAAAGAATGGAAAATAATTAAAAGTTCTGTAAGGCTTTGGATATATAAGATAGATTCTGTGATGACAATTCTTGACAATGACAATGACGATGACAATTCTGACCTTGACAATTTTGTGATGAGACTCATACTTTTGAGTCAACAAAGCATCAAATGTGTTGTTGATTTTGGGCAAGGACAATTCAGCGATTGAAATACAAAGCAGTAAAGCCAACAGGAGGCATTTCGAGATCATCTAGAGAAATATTTGATTAGAATTTCGCAAAGCAAAAACAATGAAGGGTTCTTATGGGTTATACCATAAGTACCCAATTAAGTTTATTCTTATTTTATTATTATTATTTTATTATTGTTATGTTTATTAGTATGCCTGAATACAAAGTATTCCAGCATCAGAGTTGAATATATTGCCTTTTGATGGCATACTGTAGCAAGAAAGGATACTGGTTATGTTACAGTAGCATTAATGTCTACAGAAAAAGATAAGCGTTAAAAGATTCAATTTCACGTAGCCGTTTGACGATTAAATGTTTCCACAAACCCTTAAATATGGCCGTCATCGGGCAGCTTTATATGGCAGTCATCGGGTTATTACATTTCTACCAATCTACTATTCCATCTCTATGAAAGTTCAACCTTTTTTGCATAGGTACACTCCCTGATCTCTGGACACAAAATCGGAAATCCCATTTATTTGAATATGTGTCAGCTTTGCGGCTCAAAGGAATCTATTTCGGAAATTGTCAGAGTAGGTAAAATGGAACGCTTCTGTTGAAGGAAAGGGGAACACGAAGTACATTTTCTTTGTGAAAACCAATCTGGAATCCTGCTTTCCTGTGCAAT